CTCCTGCAGCTGTGATCCCCCCCACCCCACCCTGACACCCCCCCACCACCATCCGACTATAATACAGACATTGTCTCTGCCTCAGTGTTTGGACAAATTGTCCTTTTCCCACTGTCTCATAATTTATTTAACACATGCTACGTATTCTATTCTATTCGATTCGATTCTATATTTCTTTGAAAAAAAAAATCATATCATCAATCAAACATACGGCTGTGATTTAACCAAATGTGTAATATACTTTGTTTAATTTAATGAATCTAGGTAATTATTTCTGGTTATTTCTAGTCACTCAAGTTGTTTTTTTTTAGTCAGAACGACGGTCACTTCACGGGACTTTTTTTTTTACAATTAACTGAAACAATAATAAAATAAATACTAGCAACTAAAATGATCGACTGTGTGTTAGACTACAATTAACATTAAAGCTCGTGTTTTGATTGGATGTTTTAGTCGATGATCTCACTGTTCATTAAGAGAGAGAACTTAAACACAGACTGTTTATATACTACGCCCCCCCACACACACACACACACCGGAATATTTACTGACGCAAGATGAGACTGACAGGTCCGTTGGTCCAATTATTATTATTATTATAAGTTGTTTGATTTTAAATATCGTTCATCCAACAGATTGTCTTTGTCCGCAGACACGATATAAAAACAACAACAATAATAAACTGCATCGAAAATCACAATTAAAAAATATCATCTCGACAAAACCCGCACTTTGATTCACGTTATTTGAACTGAACCCAGTTTCTCTCGAGTGAACCGAGCTCCACACAAAAGCCTCCCCGGAAAACAGAGGGAAGACGGAGGGTCGAGGAGAAGGAGGTTCAGATTAATGGTAGTCGCACGGAGGAGTTCGTTCTTCTTCCTCCTCCTCCTCCTCCTCCTCGGCCTCCTCCTCATTTTTATCTCCGTCTTCCACTTTACATGACAATAACCAGGGGAATGGACCTCGGTGTATTTTTCAAACGGCAACAAAAGAGTGGAGCCAGTAATTTCTCCTCCGCGGCCCTTCTTCTGTTTCCACCTCGGTGATATTTCAGGACACTGACAAGCTCCGGTCTCTGCACATAATGACGCCGTTTAACCCTTCAATATGTTCGTCTTCATTTCTCTCACTGCGACACTTTTTGGCGTCACTTTAGTCCAGCTGCTGTTTTGTTGGTGAAAAATCCCTCATTCACCACAAAAAAAAAAAAAAAAAAGATTGACGCTGATTCTGCATTTCATATAATAACATAAAATAACATTTTAAAAAATGTGTTTTTAAATTGTTTCGGTGGCCAGGAAATGTAATTTGACCATGACGTCATCGCGAACAGGTTCAAACTGGTTGTATCGACTTGATAAAAGCACCAGGCCTGAGCAAAAGCTCTTACCTTAATTTAATGTAATTTAATTTAATGAAGGAAGGACCAGGGCTTTATCTGCTCTACTGCAGATTTACCCCACAAAAAGAACCACAGGAGGAGGAGGAGGAGGAGGAGCTGTTTATTTACCCACACCTTGCCCTTTCCTTCCTCTCCCTGTGCATTTTATTGCCCTTGTTATTTTCTGCACCGAGTCTCTAAACAAACAGAGAAGATAAACAAATAGAAAACGCTCGCTCTCACCTCTGTTTGCGTTGGTGAAACACAGGAAATCGAGCAGCAATAAAACGACACATGTCTGACTCCTTCCTCCTCCTCCTCCTCCTCCTCCTCGGCTCAGTTGTCATTCTGCAAAGATTTAAAATATAATTTTAAACAGCAGAAAAACAAAAACAACGTTTTTCTGTGAAGTTTAATTTTTACTTCCGTGTCCACAATAAATGGAACAGAACAAAAAACGAAAATATCAAAATAAAAGCACGTTTTAAAGGTGACGTAAACAATGCAATAAAATCAAAACGGTGAAAAAAAAAACTAAAACTAAACACAAGTTGTATAAATAAATAATAATAGTAAATAATAAAACACTGCACCAGGAGAGAAGCATGTCGTCTCTAAGGCTTGATATTTTTGTCTCGTTTTATTTTATTATAATGCACTTACATAACAAGTTAAATTCCTTGTGTGTATGTGTAAATATAGTTGCCAATATATAAACATTCTGATTGGGTCGTGCACTAGACAGCAATGTTGAAGCTAAATTCCTCCTATATATACATATATATATATATTCTGACCTAGTTTCTGTCCTCTAACCAAACCCAGACCTTTGTTTTCACCAAGGAACTATTTTTCTCTTTCTTTTCTTTTCTTTTTTCGCTCTTATCTTCTTTGAATCTTTGCTCTTCACTACCTGTAGCCGGAAACACAATGCTCCCTCACCCTCCGCCCCCCCCCTGCAGCTGAAAGGCTGCTACTGACAACCTTGACAGAGAGGAAGGGAAGTGTCCCAGTCAGACACAACACACCTTGACAGATACCTGAGCTGACCTCCGGGGTCAGAGCGGGAGGTCAAGGTGAGGAGAGCAGGCCTGCACCTGCACGACCGGACCAGAGTAGAACACGTTTACACTTGGGGGAGGGAGGAGTCGAGGGGGCGGGGTGAAACAAGTGTAAAAATCATCAGGATATTGGATGACAGCAGTGAGTCCATCCACTGTTCCCATGATCCTCTCCTGCTTTTGTGGTGCTGTCCAGTGATGTATGGGCAACTTTTAAAAGGAAACGGAGAACAGCAATATTGCCTGCAGCTGCAGGGCGGTGGGGTGGGGTGGGGTAGTTGGGGGGGGGTGTTGTGAAT